AAATGGAACAAAAACGGAACAAAAACGGCTGGTTACGGATTAATCACTTTTCAATGCATTGTAGGTGAATGGAGACTCGACCTACAGACTTTTCGACCTGCAGACACCGTTCCAATACGGATTAATTCCGTACGTAGAGGGTCCACTGTACAGAGTTACACTAGCCAAGTTAGAGTGTAAGCACATGGAATGGTCTGATATGATCTGCTTCCCAGCAATCATACGACACACAGGGAATTGTGTTCCCACCTGACCACAATCTGTGCCTGAACTGGACTTCTACTTTTTTGGGCTGGACTGAGCAATTCCTTGGCAGACAGAAGGGTTGTTTTAAGAGTGATTGCTCCATTGAACCTGTTTGATTATACCATTATTTTGGCACATTAGGAAGGAAATCCTACAAGCATCTCATTCCTTCTCTGCCAGTAAAACTACAGTAAATATTAAATAAGTAACTATCTGTTGCTTCTTATTGTAATCCGCTGCCTAGGGTCGGCTGCCTCATTTTGCCTAACAGGAGGGACAGCAGTGTGAGTCTTACATTAGTAGGCTTCAACTCCTTGTTTTATTCACACCACTGCAAATTATCACTTGGCTCCTCTATGGAGAGGTGAAGCTTTGCAGCTTTCATGCAGTAAAGGTCAGGATGTTGCTGCACTTCACAGCTACTGTATGCAGCTTCCTGGGAGCGAAGGACAGTGCTGGTCTCTTAACCATTAAGTTCAGTTCTACAGTTTTACAGATTTTCCATACAGTTGTCTTTTCATACTGTTTTTCTACAGCAATCATGCAAGTCCTGATATGCTGATCCCAACCTTTAGCTGATGATAAGCTAAATATGAAACAGCAGAAGCTCTTTACCCCTTGAATTAAAGCTACATACTATACAGCAAAACATAGATGTGGAAAGGAAACCATTTTACTGCAATAGGCCTGGTCTGGATTCCTTCTCTACAGAAAGTGCACGAGCATCCCAATGGGAACAGACCCAAGGCTGAGAGGATGGACAAGCAGAGGGCCTTTGACAACGGCAATACATACTTCTCTGAGTCAGTGACATTTAAAATAATACAGTAAACATCAGACCCACTTTTTTTTTAGACACACTGAACTTATGTTTTACAGAGTCAAAAACCAGGACAGTTATAATAGCTGCATGATTTTTAAAATGAAATAGTTGGACTTTCAGCAAGGTACCCCCTGAAATCAGTACAAGCCCTCTCTACAAGGTCTTAACCCAAGATCCCTCTAGGCCTTAAGCTCGGCTATCTGCTTTCAAGTGTACTTCATCATGGTGATTTTGTTCACTGTTTTGAGTGCGGTATTTGTTTGGTTTTTTAAATAAATTTTTTGTATACTGACTGTTTTTAACTTTTAAATACTGATTTTTAATGACATAAGCCCCCCTGGGTTCTTTTTAAAGAGAAAGGCAATCAATCAATCAATCAATCAATCAATCAATCAATCAATCAATCAATCAATCAGTCCCTCCAGTATATCTTTGCCTCAGAACTGCCATATTAGGGCAAAAAACACCCCTTGCTGTTCATTTTTGTAGCTGAATGCCAGTGACTACTGTGTTAGGAGAACAGCAAAAATACAAATAACACTAAGGACTGCATAAAGAAATATGGGCATATTTGAACAGATGAGATCTGAATAATGTTCTACATAAATTTGACTGGATAGACAGAAAGGATTCGTTTCACCCTTTCTAAAGGTAAATGGGATTATTATGAACACTTGAGTTGGGCAGGAATAAATGCACTAATCCTTCAAGTTTTCAGATGCTTGTGAACTAAATTTGCCTGTCACACTGTGCATAAATTCTCCTACTAATGGCCAGACACTAGGTCTGTCAAATGATCTTGGCCAAAGAACTTTTGTATTAACAACCCGTTCACATTAAAGTAATTTTAATGTGGTTAAAGAACATCCTTCATTAAAAAATACCCCACATAATTAATGGAATGAATTACCAAGGGAAGTTATGTCAGTTGCACCATACTGTTTGCTTCTGGTTTACAATCTTGAAAGAAAAAAAATATAATTAACTGCTGCCTGAACACAGTGGGGTTCTCCTACATTCAATTTCATTCTTGTTAACACAGAGGAACAATGAAAATCTGTAATTAGCACAGAAGCAGCAGGAACACAGTGGCTTTGGCTGAGATTTGGCCTGTAATATTTTTTCCACATGTAATGTAATGTTTGCTCCAGGACACAATTCTCTTGGAAGCCAAGAGAGGGCGCCCTTTAAACAACAACAACAAAAAGCAGGGAGGGGGGAGAGTGGAGAGTGCAGCTATTGTTTTTGGATTACTGATATCTCCTAACTTTATTGTCCAACAACGACCACTGCTAGGACCACCACTACAAGGTAAGCATGTTATACAGGTACAAATACACATTGAGCTGCAGACTCAGGCAAATATGCTAAACGCCATGAATGGAACCCAAAATCTTCAAGTGGAGCTGGCTCACCTCTGCACTCTTCGACTTAACTACAGGAAATTTATTGTATTTTGTATAGGATCTGATTAAAATATTTAAGTTTTGTCATCAGAACTTTCTCAATAGTATCCTAACTTAAGAAATCTTCACTGTGTTATGTCTGTCCTCAGATGCAGTGCTACACCAATGCTATAATGTTTCCCCCCCTTATGACTTGAGTTTGCACCTTCTTCTTATCTCCTATTCCTTTCTCTTCTGTGCACTGCAGGAGGGAATCCAAAGCTTCTATTTGCAGGTTATAAATAAGCCCTCTTTCTCAATTTAGCTGAACACAGTAAGCTGCAGTTTGTACAAACCACCATTCCTAACCTTGGCCAAAATGGGAAGCTGTAGACGGTCACATCCCACAAACAGAAGCTGCAAGCTATGCTCCCACATATGTGAAAGACAGAGAACACTGTGTTACACTGCAGTACAGTGGTGCCTCGCAAGATGATTTTAATTCATTCCGCAAAAATCGTCGTCTTGTGAAAAAATCGTCTTGCGAGTTTCCTTATGCATCGGTCTAAAAAAAAAAGTCTTGCGAAGCATCGGTATAAAAAAAAAATCTTGCAAAGCACGGTCATAGAAAAAAAAGTTTTGCGAGGCACCATAGTGATCGCAAAACCCAATCGTCTTGCGGGTTTTTCATCCCACGAGGCAATCATCTAGCGAGGCACCACTGTACAAGTTAAAATCCTATATTGTTTCTCTCCAGTGATTTACAGTCATGACCAGAAATATTGGCATCCTTGCAATTCTGTCAGAAAATGCAACCCTTCTGTCAGAAAATTGTTGCAGTTGCAAATGTTTTGGTACTCATATGTTCATTTCTTTGGTTTGTGTTGCACTTTCTGACAAAATTGCAAGGGTGCCAATATTTTTGGCAGTGACTGTAGATGGTCTGTACAATGCAGATTTGCCTTCACAGATGTCACCACATACCGGTTTTGCTTAATTTCCTGCACATAAACCCCTTCTTTGGACGCACACACCAAATATGAGTTTAAAATGACCAGATGCATGGTGGCCCAGGAGTTTGGTGGATTAGAGACCACATTACTAGATGAATGTACAGTAGTGGCTTTCTCAGCTGATGGATTTACACACATATAGGCAAAGGGCTGGGGTGGGGAGAGTTTTATACAAAAGAGCCAGGAGGTAAAAAAGATGTAAGAAACAGAAGTGAGTGGGCAATAGAGAGCCTGGAATGTCTGCATGAAAAATTAATCCAACATGAATCTCCTCTGACTCTGCTCAGAATAAATAGATTCTTTTGCTGCTGGTGGTACAAAATGGCTAGCATATTTCAGCCTTCTGTAACATGCCGTGTCATAAACAATAACCCTAGGGATCAATGCTATGCTTGCGTTAAAGTTGCATTTGTAGCTCCGATAGAAGCATGCAAGCATGGGACAAAATCTTTTAATACCTTCCGGAGTCCTGTTTGCATTTCAGGTAACATTTTTAAAATTTGGAGGAGATTTCTGCCATGCCACTAGCAGCTTTTGATATTAAAAGGCTTGTAAAATATGACATACCCTTCTCTTTTGATCAACACTGACCATCCAAATTGCTATCATAAAATACCGGAGAACAGCAACATTACAATGTCATTTATCTGAATTCTAGACATTTCCAAGAATGTCTAAGGATCTTTAAACATCCCCAAGCTGTCTGAACAAAGGTTTAATGATGTATAGCAGGTTTCTACCTTGCCTTCATAACCTCACTTTCCAGGTGCATGAGGAAGAGTCAGGTATGGTCATTGTGGGGAAAACCTCATGTATTAGACATAATCCATGGTTCTGAGTTCTTGGCTCAATTTTTAATATAACTGTCTACAAAAGAATTTGTGTGGGAAGCAAAACATGTTGAACAAGGGTCTACCTTAAACGACTGAATAGAAAATGGGTGCAAAGTGTCTTTAGTTATACCTACATTATGCAGTGGTAGCAGTTTGATTCCATTTGAACTGCCATGGTTCCATGATGTGGAATGATAGCATTTGAAATTTGATGAGAGACATGCAATTCTCTGCTAGAGAGCCTGAGAATACACCTTTTGAATTACAGCAAAGAATTCTAAATGCCTTACCAAACCACAGACCTCAGGATTCTGTAGGCAGTTACAGTGGCATCAAGCTGCTATAGCTGTGTGGTGGAGATACATTCTTAAGTTTCAGACTGCAGCAAAATAAAGGCAAACTCATTTCTGGTCTCAAGATCAACCCAAGTCTCAAAGAGCACACTAGAGAACACCTGAGAGATCTTTATGCTTAAGCACCAAGAGAAAGCATTCAAACTGACACACAGCCAGATAATTTTAACCTGTGATATCGATTAGAGGACACGATGACCTTAAAAGTACACTATTAGAAACAGTAAGAAGCATAGTGCATTGCCATCTCCATTCCCACTGTGTTTCTTGCCGTAATGCAGTAACTTTCTCCTGTAGAAAGAAACACTGGAAGCAATTCAATCAAATTTGATTCACTCTTGTCTCACCTGCAGAACTGCCTGGAGTGGTTCATGTTGGGGCCTGCTTTAATATTGCCCTTTTCTGGGTCATAGATGGTGGTCGCTCGTGCATAAGCTCCTCCAAGAATAAAGATGAAACCATTGAGAGTGACCGCGGGAGCATATTTGTTATCTGTCAATGGAAAGCAACACTGAGATCAGTTTCCAAGCTTGGCACTGGAACCAGGTTTTTATTTATACATTCCCCTTATTTATAGATAAGTCACGTATTTCAAAACCTCCAAGGCCAGAGAAAGAAAAATGAGAAAGTTTTTAGCTGTTGCTGTTTTTATTCAATGTTCTTAAACTTTGGAGAGGCATTGTTTAAAGTTCATTGTTGCTCCTGATTCCTAGCACCCAGTGGCTGCGATCTAATACCTTTGTTAGCTTCCATCTAAAGTTATGTAGTTTTGTCTGGGGAGAAAAAAGCAAGGGTGTTTCTCTGAAAGCCTTTCTTTGCAGCTGAAGTGATATTGTCAAACAGTGTTCCATATTTAAGGAAAGTAAGGTTAACCTCTAAGCAGCAGAAGCGGTCCTTCATAAGAAGTAACTTTGGATACCACCAATGGCCCTCAGGTGAATTATTCTTATTCCCTCTCACGCCCCTCTGTTTTGTTTTTCCATGTTCCTTCCTTCTTTCTTTCATTCATTCATTCATTCATTCTTTCTTTCTTTCTTTTTCTTTTCCTCTGGACTTACAGCATTTGGCTTGAGGACAAAAGAGATCAAGCCCTGGATAGACCTGAACTATGCCATTTGCAAGGAAGGGATTAGATATCTGAATAAAGTAAAGGTAAAGGTTCCCCTTGACAATTTTTGTCCAGTCGTGTCCGACTTTAGGGGGCGGCGCTCATCCTGCTCTTCAAGCCATAGAGCCAGCGTTTGTCCGAAGACAATCTTTCCGTGGTCACATGGCCAGTGTGATTTAGACACGGAACGCTGTTTACCTTCCCACCGAGGTGGTCCCTATGTATCTACTCGCATTTGCATGCTTTCGAACCACTAGGTTGGCGGGAGCTGGGACAAGCGACGGGGGCTCATTCCGTTGCGTGGATTCAATCTTACGACTGCCGGATCTTCTGCCCCTGCAGCACAGGCTTCTGCGGTTTAGCCCACAGCGCCACCACGTCCCTAGATATCTGAATGCTTCCTACCAATTCAAAGCTATCAGGAAAAAGTTTTGGAAAATAACTAACATGCCAGTTTTGGGGCAAAAAGCCACAGGCTCCAGTTCTGTTGGGGAATATTTAAGCACCCAGTCTCTTGCTTTTAATTTAAAAGGGAGCTTGATGCTAGATTACTGATTTGTTCAGTATTTTATGGATTATTATTAGGTTTTCTTTAAAAAAACGGGCCTAAATCCATTTGGTAGTTTCAACTACAGCAGACTCAATGAATTAACTTCTGCGTGGTGAGCCCAAAGTTAGGTAGATCTCAGTGATTCAAGAAGTCTACTATAGCTGAAACTACCAATTGGGCGCACACCCATTTCCACCCCCCCCCAAAGAAATCAGTTCTCATCTCTACATAAAGATGGGATAGCTATTATTATTTAATAAAAATAATCACTGTAATCGTTGCTATCTTGAATTATGTATCCATAATCCACCATGCTTGAATTTGGTAGACTGATTCATACTAACTAGCCATAAGCTAATCTTAGCCAATTATTTTAATACACCCAGGCACAGAGCCAAATATTTTGAGCAGGGCAGCTAGAGTAGGATGAGAGTGTAGACTGTAGGTAAATGAACAGTTGAAATACTTGTACATGTTTTATCAAAGAAATTCCACATCTTTGACCAGAAAAGAAATATATTTGTAGTGAGAGCAAGCACACAGCCTGGTGAAATCAATAGCCTGTCTATCCCTCCTTTGAGATTGGAGATCAAAGGGATATTGGGGGTAACTGATTTGGAGTTGAATGCCCTTGTTTTGATTAATCAAATGAAACAAGGGCATTCAACTCCAATGGATCTGTGCAGATCCATCATGGAGGAGGAAGCTCTCTCAAGTAGGCTCCATCTACAGAATTAAATTAACCTAAATAAGTCAGTGGAGTGATATGCCACACATTCACTTCTACATGGATACATCAGTAGGTGGCATAGGCATCAGGCAGACTGGCAAGGGAGAAAGAGACTGCCCACTGAATCCCACCCAAGTGGAAAAGGAAAGATGAGAAGGTGGCTTCATCAGACATCTCAAGTCTGGGGGTGGTGATGGATGTTGCTGGTGGGCTTTATATAAATGTTCTATGGACTGTTTCAAGTAACTTTTTTTTCTGCAAATAGGGCTGTAATTTAAAACGTTCTGCTAACGTTTCTAAGGGGTTATCAGTTTATTACCGTTGGCAAGTATCCTGTTATGTGGCTCTATATGCACAATAGCACTGATGCCACTAAAACCATTTTGGGTTGCACAACATGCATGCAATGGTACAGAGTTGTGCACATTCTGAAACTGAAAAATGAACTCTTTAGGGAGCTGCTAGTGTTGTTATTCCCACTAAATCCATATGTGGACATATGCAATTGGGTTAAGAACATTAACTGTCTTTATAGCATATGCATAGTATGTACCAGATGAATAAATGGACACTGTGAGTTCTGAGAATGGACATGGAGTGGGAAAGCCACATTTACTCACTGGAGAGATATTTTTGTGTAGCCAAATAATGTGGATAATCAGGGACAAGATTAGTAAGATTTTATTTTTGTTCAGGAAAACAAGACCATTACATCAGCATCTGCTGATGCTGTGATTGACTTTACTGAACACAGGTGAATTGTTTGAAGACTTTTCTGTTGAGAAGTATAACACAAATGCACAAATAAATAATGCATTTCCAGCACCAGTTTTTCTGCTGGTCCCTCCCTCCACCCAATTAATGAAGTGTGGGGATAACATAAGAATGCTAAGATCCTGAAACTATTTTTCCTCTTTCTTGCATTACAGGTAAATGCAGCATGATTAACGCTGACAGCGTTACATCGAATTTTATGTTCTAGGAATAATAGAGTTTGCATCTTTTTTGTTTGAATCATGGCCGGATTCTCCATACATTAAGTTGACAAAACAACCCCACCCACTCCCCCCATCCCCCAAAAAATCCCCATTCAAAAGTTACATCTCTTGCTGAGGAAACTTTATATTTCTAACTCTGCCGTTATTTAGGTTAGTTTGGCGTATTTTGCCAATGGCTGCAAAGGTGGGTAGCAAAAAAAGTGGAAAATGCATCTACTCTTGGGGGTGGTTGTATGGTAACCTAAGAACTAAATAACAAGGAAAAGAGCTTAAAGAATAGTGATTTCCCAATTTGGTCCCCAGATGTTCTTGGACTACAATTCCCAGAAATCGTAGCTAGTAAGGCCAATAATTAAAGCCTCTGGAAGTGGAAGTCCAAGAATATCTGTGCCCCAGACCCTTTGACTAAAGAAACATTCCAAAGCAAAGAAAGTTCTTTTCCACAAACCCTGGGATTTCAGCCTAAGGCCTCTTTCAAAGTGTGAGCTCATCTACTCATTTTAAAACACAACCCCATAATTTTCAAGCTTAAACCTTTAGCGCCGTGTGAACTAAATTGTACATTAGGTTTCAGATTTTGTAAAACACAGGAGGGGACACAAGCACAACTCACAGTCTTGCTGGCTGCAGCACGCATGCCAGTTACCATCATTTCACCGTATTCTCCACGCAAAAGGATAGTTCAGTAACTAATGTTTGCCACAGATCATCATCTTGTGATAGGTGCGTATAAAAAAGTGTCAGAAACGTAAGCCCCGAGTTATATAACCCCACACCTATAAACATAGCTCTTGGTCTAAAGTAGCTTTCATTCTACAGTCGTGCCCCGCTTAACGATTGCCCTGCATTACGATGAATCCGCTTTACGATTATGTTTTTGCGATCGTAAAACGATGGTTCCAAGCTTCGAGAACCGATTCTTTGCATTGCGACAATCAAAACAGCTGATCGTTGGGTTTTCAAAATGGTCACTGGGTGCTCAAAATGGCTCTCCGCTGCACTTAGGGACGGATTCCTCGCTATACAGGCACCGAAAATGGCCGCCGTATGGAGGATCTTCACTGGACGGTGAGTTTTTAGCCTATTGGAACGCATTAACTGGGTTTTAATGCGTTTCAATGGGTTTTTTGTTTTCGCTTTACGACGTTTTCACTCTACAGCGAGTTCGCTGGAACGAATTAACGTCGTTAAGCGAGGCACCACTGTATTGCTTAGTTCATTCAAACCATCTGTGAGATCATTATCCATACATCACTTTTAGCTGGCCTTAGTTATATACTTTTGGAAAGATGGATGTCAATATTCCACTTTTGGTGCTTTTCAGCCTTCAGATAACATCATATCCTGGCACATGGGTGTGAGAGAATGTTAATTTATCTTGCATCTTTAAGACAGACAGACAGACACCCCCCCCAAAACACAGCATTACAAGAAAAAGAATGAAAAAGGCCAAAGTCTACACCTACACGTGCTACTTGCAAAAACCATAAATAATATCCGTGAGGCAAATAAAATCACCCTGTCTGTGCAATTTCTTAAAAGGATAGCCCCAAAGTGATTCACCAAACAGACACAAAGAAAGCAGCGGAGAGCTTTTTTCTCAACTCTACCGTTCCTATCATTTGACAGTCTTCAGAGTAAACTGTCTTCCTTTTGCTGCTTGCAAAATCAAACAAGAGTATGTCTGTTTTGTTACTGACACAAAAAGCTCTCCAGCATGTGAACCCTCTGCGTATGCTGATCACATTTTCACAGCTTCTTTTGAGCGAACATTACTTTGTGGAAGACACATTAATCCAACAAAAGATATCTTGAAATTTAACCTTAAAAGCCCATAGGGATATTCTTCTGGGCTACCTCAAGGCAGAAACAATATCCCCTCAAGAGACTAATTCCCTGCCTTCATATCCCTTTGTTGTCTAAAAGAAAGAACATCTCCCCCCACTCTTTTTTTTTAAATAGCAGAAGTTTGCTTTTATTTCTTATAAGCAGTTAGCACGGTTCCTCGGATTCCTTTGTAGTGAGCTAGCGTTATGTTGCTTTGGGTGCCCTCTCACAGTTTCCAGCGCTCAACTGCTTCAGCTTCATTTTTCCGACCTCACCTTT